GGGGGGGATCCCTGGCGGGGGGAGAGACCCGTACTTGGGGGATCCAGAAGGGAGGGGCGAGGGACACAACCCGCCCTGGGGGTGGCTTGGGAGCAGGCTGACACTCGGACTGGTAGGCCCTTGTTGCAGACCAGCCTGACCCTGGGGCGGGTTGCTGGGGGGACTACCTAGCACGAGGTTCCAAGGGGGGTTGTTGTTTTAGGCCCTTGTTGCAGACCAGCCTGACCCTGGGGCGGGTTGCTGGGGGGACTACCTAGCACGAGGTTCCAAGGGGGGTTGTTGTTTTCTCAGTGTTTCCCAAGGAGGAGGATTGGCAGGCAGAGCGTGGCTCTGGGGGGCAGCAGTGTGTTTTCCAGAGTGGCATTGGGCACCCCAGGAAAGGGGCCAGGCTTGCTGGAGCATGTGTTTGACTAGCCCCAAAGATTTCTGCATCTCTTTTGTCTGAGGAGAAGGAAATCTGAGGAGCAGCCAAATACTCAGCATGCCAAAGTTCTCCCAAGACACCCCGTGCACCCTCCCACATGGATCATCCCGGGGAACCCTGAAGCCAGCTGCTCCAATGCCTTGGGCTCTCTGGGCTTTCTCTCCAGCACCCATCACTATGGAACAGGTTGAACCTCTCTAGACGGGTACAAACCAGAGAATTTCCTGAACCACGGGAGGTCAATGTTGTCTAGCAGCATTACCAACACTGCCACACCTTCCTGGGCTCTTAGAAGACTGTTGGGGTGAAGTAGAGCTAAATAACAGCACAGAACACTGAGAGCCGGGGTGGTAGCTATAAACAAACTTTATGGGACATCAGGAAACTTGGCCACACCCACGATAAGTGGACATCTGCTAGCAAAAATCATGCTGGGCCACAGATTTGCTGGACAACGGATGTTGCCGGACTAGAGGTTCAAGCTGTATCTAACGTATGAGACTCCTTACAGTGTAACTCCTGGGCGATCCCAAGCCGTTTTTAAAATAACCCCCTTTAAACTTTTCCTGGCTAGAAACACAGGGGTTTTTGTCGCTCTTTCAGTGCAGGGAAAAATGGACCAGAATCAACATTTACTGATTTCAGGGAAGCCCCCAAAATCCCAGCCTGTGCTGGTCAGGAAAACCAGGCTGGCAACAAATGTGATTGGCCCTGATTTGTAACCAGTATTGTGGGATCCCAGGGGCATGAGGGCCCAAGGGCTTGTTCCATTTCTGTTGTTTAGTTCTTACCTACAGCCCATAATCCTCTGTTTGTGTCATTATAATTAGCTGAACAGTTGTCTCAGGAGATTATGACTCAGGTGCAGAATGCGGAGCAGAGACTCTGTTTTGATCACTGGAATCCTAGAAACAGTCCCGTGCCGCCTCCCCTTTTCCCTCTGGATAGAACATGGACACCCTGGCAGAACTGCTGCCAAAGAGCCTGTGCTCCAAAAGTTTTCCGTAGAGCATCAGTGGCTCTTTAAGGGATGGAAGGAAAAATGCATGTTGCCCTCCCAGGCTGTGCACGAGTGCTGTGACCTCATCAGGCTGGTGCATGTGAACCAGGAAGCAGAACAGAGCTGAAATAAACAAGACAGGTTGGGAACTTGGGTAAAACTGAATGGCTGCATGAGTAGAGAAGGGAGTGAAAGTGACCTGATCACGGAGTCCAGTTTCTGTGCTCGTGGGTTACCTCTCTGCAGCGGGTGAGGTGATTCTCTCTGTTCTTTGCCGCTGCCTGATTTGGGACAAGCGCAGATTGTAGCTGGGTCTCCGTTGTGCAAGCTTGCTTGCTTTCTCTTTTGTGTCATGCTTACTTGTGTGGGGCAGTGTAATTGTTGTGATTTTTATTACTAGCATTTGTATCGGATAAGTTTTAGAAACAAAAACATAGGGCCAAATTCTGCACTCTGTGACCTGCGTGTAAATCCAGAATAACTCTTGATTTCAGTGGAGTTACTACAGTTTTCTCTCTGATTTAATTGACGCCAGAATTTGGTAGAAGTTTTGCCTCTTTGCTAGCTGCCCAAGCGTGTACCCAGGAAGTGTGGGCAGGCTTGGAGCCAGGTGGCTAGCTTTAGCTGCTGTTTATGCTACCTAGCCATGTTGCTATTTTTAGCTGGAGCAAGCACAAATTAGTCCCTTGTGCTGGGCTGCATACTCCCGGGGCAGAGGAACGAATTCGAGATGCACTGGCAGAGTTGGGAAGGTCTGCAGAGCGCCTCCCCCTGTTGCTCGCTCAAGCCATGCCATCTGGCCTTTCTTGTCATGGAATGTTTGATCTTAGATTTTGGAAAGACATCTCTCCTAGAATCCTAGGGCTGGAAGAGACTTCGGGAGTCATCGAGTCCAGCCCCCTGCCCAAAGCCGGCCCAAAAGCAGGATCTCGCTTACTCTTTATCTTTAAACTCCTCTCCAGTCCTGCAGGGACATCTGCAACTTTCCAAGGTGATCTCTTTCTGCGTTAGGGCTGTCTGAGTGTAAACGACTACAGGGCGTCCCCGCTGTAAGTTGCCCCGGTATCCATGCGCACTAAAGTCATTGACGCTAATAGGAACTGATGCGTTAGAAGTCCTCCTGGTCCCTGCTCTTAAGTTGCGTGGAAAAAAAAAAGCACAAATGGAAGTCAGCTGCGGGAAAAAATTCCCCGCTTTACGTTGTTTTGCTATCGGTCCAAGTTTTTTTTTGAATGTATCTTGGACTTCTAGCGAGGATGGCCTGTAACCGTTTAACTGTTAGGCGGATGGTTATCTGTTAATGGTGTCAATTCGGTGAAGCCTTCTCCTCCGGAGCTGGGCTCGCAGCCCTGTTCCTGTGGAGGCTTCGCCGTAGACTTTATACTGTAGAGCCCGCGGTGGTTACATGGTTACCCTAATACATGATTTTTAACATCGCTATTCTGAATGGAGTTCCCCCGTAAGCTCTGATGTGGCTCAAAAATCCCAAACTAAGGGGACATGCCATTCCTCTTAAGGGGACAGGAAACTGATCCTGGTTACTTTCCTAAAGGGAGCACAACAACACACAAGGGAAGTGTTTGGGGTGCCTGTTTCTTTCTAAGGTGAGTGTGTTTTCATACGGCGTGTGTTAATAGAGGAAGTAACAATCCCATCTCCTCCTGTTTTAGCGACTTGGATCCTTGGTCAGGAGTCGAGCAGAGACCATGAGCTGTTGCTAGCTCTAGCCTTCTGACTTTCAGGTGAGTAGAAACATAAGACATGGTGCATCAAATTCACCCCTTCAGTAAGTGGCGTTAGACCAGGACTGGATCTGGCTGACTTTGCAGCGTTTCATCCTCCTGGCCACGGTTGCGTTGGTGTGGCTAGCCGTAGCGTTGGTCCTCTTGTGGTCCATGTGAGGCTGAATAGAGAGCCAAGATGAAGCTGTTCTTCCAGAGAGAGTAAATTTGTCCATGTAGTTCAACTCCACAGCACCCCTTTAACTTTGGTCCCAAATTCCGTTTCTTTTCAAAAGCCCTTGCGCACAGAAAAGGGTTAATGGGACAATGCAATCTAAACTTTCTGCATTGTACTCAGTTGACACTTCCCCCTGAGTTCTTGGAAACTTAAAGACAACAGCAGGTTGCTTGTGTGCGGAAACCAGCCAATGAAATTGACCGTGATTGTGTTATTGCCCAAAGTGAAGAGAAGAAAGCAAGCCAGCATCACACATGGTGGAGTGTCCGTTTTCATTTTGAAAGCTCTTTCATATTTAAAAACCAGGTAAAGAAAGAAAGGAGTTCTGCCTTGGGGATGTTACCTTTTACGTTGTGCCTTTCACTTCTGTGAAGTCACGGTTTTGATGGGTTTGATCACAGGGGTCCCCTGGAGATTGTCTCTCGGGCTTTGTCTACACTGCAGGGTTTTTGCGCAAGAAGCCTTTTGCAGAAGAGATCTTGCCCAAAAACTTCTTGCACAAAAGCGCGTCCAGACCTGAAAATGCATCACAGAAGCGATGTGCTTTTGCGCAAGAGAGCATCCACGCTGCATGGGCGCTCTTGTGCAAGAAAGCTCTGATCCTGTGCTTTTTCCAATAGGGGTTTCTTGTGCAAAAAGCCCTCTGGAGCGTCCACACTTGCCTTTTTGCACAAGAGCTGTAGTGCAAAAAGGAGTTATTCCTCATGGGAAGAGGAATAACTTTATCGGCAAAAGCCCTCTGTCCTTTCGATTTACTTGCACAAAAATGCGGCTGAGGAGTGGATGCTCTGCGCAAAAACCTTGTAGTGGAGACAAAACCACAGTGTACTGATCATATCCTGGAGCCCACCAACTTGTCCTGTCGCAAAAATGCGGCTGAGGAGTGGAGACAAAACCACAGTATACTGATCGTATCCTGGAGCCCACCAACTTGTCCTGTGGGGTACCCCACCACCACGTCCTGCAAGGCCAGAGGCGCTGGTCTCCCTCAGCCAATGTGCAGAGTTGCGGTCACAGCCCCCGAGCAAAGCAACACAGATGCTGAACCAGTTCAGCTCTGGGAGGACTCAGCTCTGAGGCCGTTGAGAGCACCCTGGTGTTCAGCCCCAATGGGACCAAACCCCAAATAAATCCGTCTTACTCTGTATAAAAGTTTTACACAGAGAAATCCCATAAGTTCTGCAGCTTTATCAGTGAAAGAGAGATCAGAACAGTGGTTCCCTGCCCAGCAACGGTTACGTGCACTGGGCTTGATAATAAACACAAGTGATTTTATTAAGTATAAAAAATAGGATTTATGTGATTGCAAGTGGAAACAGACAGAGCACAGTAAGTTACTAAGACAAAATAAACAAAGCATGCCGGCTAATCCTAATACACTAAGAAATTTGTTACATGCGAATTCTTACCCTCACAGTTCTTCTCCTCCTCTCTTTCCCAAGCTGTCATGGGAGATGAGGGGGAAGGTCCTCTCATGGATTGGTAACTGCTTACGAGATAGGAAACAAAGGGTCGGAATAAATGGTCAGTTTTCAGAACGGAGAGAGGTAGCTAGCGGTGTCCCGCGAGGGTTCGTACTGGGACCAATCCTATTCAACATCTTCATAAATGAGCTAGCGGTGTCCCACAGGAGTCCGTACTGGGACCAATCCTATTCAACATCTTCATAAATGATCTGGAGAGAAGGTTAAACCGTGAGGTGGCAACATTTGCAGATGATCCCAAACTGCTCAAGGTAGTTAAGACCAAAGCAGACTGTGAAGAGCTTCAAAAGGATCTCCCTAAACTAGGTGACTGGGCAACAAAATGGCAGATGAATTTTAATGCTGATAAATGCAAAGTAATGCACATTGGAAAACATAATGCCAACTATATGTACAAAATGCTGGTGACTAAATTAGCTAATAGATTCAAGAGCGAGATCTTGGACTCGTGCATAGTTCTCTGAAAACATCCACTGTGGAACTGTCTATACTGGCATGATTTTACGCAAGAACTCTTTTGCGGAAGAGTTCTTGTGCAAAAACTCTTCCAGAAGAGAGGGTCTACGCTGGCATGTGCCTTTGCGCTACAGATGCGCTTTTGCGCAAGAGCATCCATACCAGTGTAGACGCTCTCTTGCGCAAGAAAGTTCTGATGGCCATTTTAACCATCAGGCTTTCTTGTGCAAGAAATTCATGTTGCCTGTTTACACTGGCCTCTTGCGCAAGAACAGTTGCACAACAGGGCTTATTCCTGAGCAGGAGTGTCATAGTTCTTGCACAGGAAGCCCTGATTTCATACATTAGAACGTCAGTGTTCTTGCGCAAGAACTCGCGGCCAGTGTAGACAGGCAGAAAGTTTTGGCGCAAAAGTGGCTGCTTTTGCGCAAGATCACACCAATGTAGACACAGCCTCAGTGTGCAGCGGTGGTCAAAAAAGCAAACAGGATGTTAGGAATCGTTTAAAAAAGGGAACGAGAATAAGACAGAGAACATCTTATTGTCTCTCTATAAATCGATGGTATACCTACATCTGGAATACTGTGTGCAGGTGTGGTCATCTTATCTCAAGGAGGCATCTTGGCATTGGAAACATTACAGAAAAGGGCAACAAAAATGATTAGGGGTTTGGAACAGGTCCCATATGAAGAGAGATTAAAAAGACTGGGACTTTCCAGCTTAGAAAAAAAGAGTTTAAGGGGGATATGATAGAGGTCTGTAAAATCATGGTTGCTGTGGAGAAAATAAATAAGGAAAAGTTATTTAGTTGTTCCCACAACACAAGAACTAGGTCATCTGAAGAAAACTCCGGTTGTCTGAAGAAGTGGGCTGTGCCCACGAAAGCTCATGATACCATCTATGTGTTTTGTTAGTCTGTAAAGTACTACCAGACCATTTGTTGGTTTTTAAGTTTATCTTGTACAGACTAACTCAGCTACCCCCCCCCCCAAAGCACAAGAACTAGGGGCCACCAAATGAAATTAAAAGGCAGCAGGTTTAAAACACACACAAGGAAGTTTTTCTTTATGCAACACGCAGTCAACCTGTGCAACTCCTTGCCACAGGATAGTGTGAAAATCAGGGCTTTAACAGGGTTCAGAAAAGAGCTAGATAGATTCATGGAGGATAGGTCCATCAAGGGCTATTAGCTAGGATGGGTATGGATGGTGGCCCTAGGCTCTGTTTGTCAGAAGCTGAGATTGGGTGACAGGGGAGGGATCACTTGATTACCTTTTTTTTTCATTCCCTCTGGGGCATCTGGCATTGGGCACTGTTGGAAGACAGGACACAGGGCTAGATGGACCTTTGATTTGACTCAGTATGGCTGTTCTCATGTTTAAGCGAGTCAACCTCCTAGCTTGAGGTCAATCCTTCCCCCTGTTCAGTCTTAAGTGCTTCCAGGAGACCTCTTGGGTGGTATGAGGGGATCTCCTGGCATCTGGCCAACACCTCTGTTGTTTGGTTTTCCCACCTTTTGCCCGAGGTGGGAATTCTTTGTGTTCAGTTCAAATTTATCTCACTTTGAATGGAAAAGTACCAGATCCAAAATGGGATCCACCATCTGGTGGCCTGGCTACATGTCCTGCCATGACCAATCATAATCCAGGCTTATAGGAAAAACAGACCCATTCACAGAAAGTTACCTTGAGCACCAGACCATTAAGTTTCCAGAGTATCGGTAATGGCTGTCATTAGCATGTTTAGAATTATAAACAGATCCACACTTCATATTTCTAACTTCACATAAAAAAGAATACCTGCACAAAATCAGAATATGCACAGTCAACAGTTTGTAACTTTAATCATGATCTGTCACATGATGTATTTTACCTAAAGCATCTTCATAGAATCCTAGGGCTGGAAGAGACCTCAGGAGTCATCGAGTCCAGCCCCCTGCCCAACACAGGACCAACCCCAACTCAATCATCCCACCTGGGCTTTGTCAAGCTGAGACTTAAAAACCTCTAGGGCTGGAGATTCCACCCTCTCCCTAGGGAACCCATCCCAGTGCTTCCCCACCCTCTTAGGGAAATAGTTTTTCCTAATATCCAACCTAGACCTCC